GGGACCCGACCCCCAGGGACCGCCCCACAGGGACCCCACCCACAGGGACCCCACCCACAGGGACCCGACCCCCAGGGACCGCCCCACAGGGACCCGCCCCACAGGGACCCGCCCCACAGGGACCCGACCCGTAGGGACCACCCGGCAGAGACGTGACCCACAGGGACCCGACCCACAAGGACCCCACCCACAGGGACCCGACCCCCCAGGGACCGCCCCCAGGGACCCGACCCACAGGGACCCGACCCCCAGGGACCCCACCCACAGGGACCGCCCCACAGGGACCCGACTCCCAGGGACCCGACCCACAGGGACCGCCCCACAGGGACCCGACCCACAGGGACCCCACCCACAAGGACCGCCCCACAGAGACCCGACCCCCAGGGACCCGACCCACAGGGACCGCCCCACAGGGACCCGACCCGTTAGGGACCACCCGGCAGAGACGTGACCCACAGGGACCCCACCCACAGGGTCCCCACCCACAGGGACTGCCCCACAGGGACCCCACCCACAGGGACCGCCCCACAGGGTCCCCACCCACAGGGACGCGACCCCCAGGGACCCGACCCCCGGGGACCGCCCCACAGACGGGACCTGGGTCTGTGTAGACCCCTGGTGGTACGCACCCCGCTGGTCGTCCGTGGTGACCTGTTCTGTATTTGGTTATTTGGTTACTGTAGAATTCATGCAGCAGACTGACTTTTCTGTTGAGCCAAAGTTCTCTTTCTTTGCTGACACTTCAACTGCAACAGTTTCCATTACGTCAGTCTTGACCCGGGCCGTCAAGAATACTAGTTTTAAAATGTTTTCTTGGCCGATTGCGGTGGCTCACACCTGCAGTCCCAGCACTTTGGGAGGCTGAGGCGGGCGGATCCCAAGGTCAGACCAACATGGTGAAACCCCGTCTCTACTAAAAATACAAAAAATTAGCTGGGTGTCGTGGCGGGCGCCTGTAGTCCCAGCTACTTGGGAGGCTGAGGCAGGAGAATTGCTGCAACCCAGGAGGCGGAGGTTGCAGTGAGCCAAGGTTTCGCCATTGCACTCCAGCCTGGGCGACAGGGCGAGACTCCATCTCAAAAAGGAGAAGAGGCTGTGGAGAGAGGAGGGGCTGCCCGCCCTTGGGAAGGCAGTGGGGTGAGATGCTCTGTAGTGCTGCTTCTGTGTCTAAAAATCATTGTATCAGAGACTTGAACTGTTTTCTGAGAGGTAACTTGTGTATGTATTGTTTTGAACTTTAGTATAGTTGCCGTTGGAGAGGCTGGAATTCGGTTTTGTGCATTTACATGTGTGATGCCTGCAAAGCCCCGAAGCTCTGCTGAGGACCCTGGCTGCAGTGTGGCTGCTGCCTCTTTGCAGCTTTTGGTTGAAGTGACTTTATTTGCCCCTGCTGAGCTCACCTTATCCAAGTAGCGGCTCCTCAGTGAGACTTAAACCTAAGAAGTCAACATGGGAATCAGTAGTATTTTAAGTGAATTATTTATTTTTTATTTTTATATTTATTTATTTTTTTTTTGAGACAGAGTCTTGCTTTGTCGCCAGGCACCAGGCTGGAGTGCAGTGGCTGGAGGTCGGCTCACTGCAACCTCCACCTCCCGGGTTCAAGCAGTGCTCCTGCCTCAGCCTCCCAAGTAGCTGGGACTGCAGGCGTACGCCACCACGCCCGGCTAATTTTTGTATTTTTTAGTAGAGACAGGGATTCATCATGTTGGCCAGGATGGTCTCGATCTCTTGACCTTGTAATCCGCCCGCCTCGGCCTCCTAAAGTGCAGGGATTACAGGGGTGAGCCACCGTGCCAGGCCTATTTTTTATATTTTATTTTTTTTAAGACCGAGTCTTGCTCTGTCGCCCAGGCTGGAGTGCAGTGGTGCACTCTTGGCTCACTTCAACCTCTGCCTCCCAGGTTCAGGTGATTCTCCTGCCTCAGCCTCCCAAGTAGCTGGGATTACAGGTGCACACCATCACACCCGGCTAATTTTTTTTTGTATTTTTAAGTAGAGACCGGGTTTCACCATATTGGTCAGGCTGGTGTCCAACCCCTGACCTTGTGATCTGCCTGCCTCAGCCTCCCAAAGTGCTGCGATTACAGGCATGAACCACCACGCCCCACTGAAGTTTTAAATTTTTAAATTAGTTATTATTATGGTTGAGACAGAGTCTTGCTCTGTCACCCAGGCTGGAGTGCAGTGTTGTGATCTCGGCTTGCTGCAGCCTCCACCTCTGGGGTTCAAGAGATTCTCCTGCCTCTGCCTCCCAAGTAGGTGGGATTACAGGCACCTGCCACCATGCCTGGCTATTTTTTTTATTTTTATTTTTTAAAATTTTTAGTAGAATCGGGGTTTCACCATGTTGGCCAGGCTGGTCTGGAACCCTTGACCTCAGCCTTCCGAAGTGCTGGAATTACAGACGTGAGCCACCGTGCCTGGCCAAATTTTTTGATTTTTAATTTTTTTTTGGAGACAGGGTCTTGCTCTGTCTCCCAGGCTGGAGTGTAGTAGTGTGACCTTGGCTCACTGCAGCCTCTGCCTCCCAGTTCAAGCCGTTCTCCCACTTCAGCCTCCTGAGTAGCTGGGATTATGGGGCACACCACCGTTCCTGGCTAATTTTTGCATTTTTAGTAGAGGTGAGGTTTCACCAGGCTGGTCTCAAACTCCTGACCTTAGTGATCCACTCACCTCGGCCTCCTAAGGTGCTAGGATTACAGGCGTGAGCCACTGCACCTGGCCTAAGTGAATTTTAAAGTGGCTTTTTATTCATGTTTGTTTAAAGTTCTTTATTTTGAAGCTTAAGTCTACAACACCAAAATTATGGTAGCGAAAAAAACATTGTGTTTTAGACATACGAAGGAAGTCTGTCAACGTAAATGAATTCATCATTGTAACTTTTCTGGCTGAAAAGCATCTGAAGACAGTCTTTGGAGACCCCCATGCCCTAATGGGAAGTGTGCTTGCCAGCAGCTGGAGGGGTGCCCCTGTGTGTCCCCTTCCCCCCCCACCTGTGCGCCCCCTTCCCCCCTGCCTGTGCGCCCCCTCCCCCCTGCCTGTGTGCCCCTTCCCCCCCGCCTGTGAACCCCCTTCCTACCACCTGTGCCCCCCCTTCCCCCCTTAGGCGCTGTGTCCTGCTAGATGGCCACCATTTAAATTAGAGTGACAGTAAACAGCTCGTGTTCCAACTTTTTAAAACCTTTTTTTCCTCATTTAAAAAATACGTTTTCCTTCCATCACTCATTTTCCATACCCTCCTGAAACAGGAAACAGGGAAGATTTTCTTGTCCCTAGCCCCTAGTCTTTAGTGCTTATGTTTAGATACGTTCTCTGAGTAGCGTGAGTGTGCAGTCCTAACTGGTGCTTTCTTGGCTCTGGGTGCTTTCTTTTCTTTTTTTTTTGAGACGGAGTTTCGCTCTTGTTACCCAGGCTGGAGTGCAATGGCGCGATCTTGGCTCACCGCAACCTCCGCCTCCCGGGTTCAGGCAATTCTCCTGCCCCAGCCTCCTGAGTTGCTGGGATTACAGGCACGCGCCACCATGCCCAGCTAATTTTTTGTAGTTTTAGTAGAGACGGGGTTTCACCATGTTGACCAGGATGGTCTCGATCTCTTGACCTTGTGATCCACCCGCCTCGGCCTCCCACAGTGCTGGGATTACAGGCTTGAGCCACCGCGCCCGGCCTGGGTGCTTTCTTTTCTTATACTGACCTACCACAGCCCTCCTCACACTCACTGTGGGTTGCCCTCGCTGCTCTCCCAGGCCAGGCTGGCACCAGAATGCCTGCAGGGTCTTGGCCGCAGGTGGTGCCCAGCTCCCCATGGTTTCTTTTTGCTTCCTTTTCTTGAGAATGCGTCTTTCTCTCACGGTGCTGAACCACCATCTTTTCCGTTCAGACCACCTCCGTTTCTTGGTTCCTTGGATCTCTGGTCAAGGGTTAGTTCAGAGACTGGCTGCCATTTGCAATTGGTGGCCCTGGAAGTCATAGCCCTTTCTTTTCTCCCCTTTATCTTGCCTGTGGCCCTTTACCTTGGAGTTGTGTGGAGACCCATGCCCAGTTAGGAAGCAGTAGAGCCCACTGGTCCAGTGCATACCAAGACAAAAGGCAGTCTGTGGAATGGAGGAAAGGAAGCTAGGGTGGACTGAAGACCTTTTCTTCTCCTGCAAACTTCCTCTCCCTAGCAGACATTAAGAAAAATGCTCACATGCTGGATAATGTAGGTTGTGTGTGATTTAGCAAGAACCTTGAGTCCTGAAGGCACGTTTGTGCTTGGTTGTTCAGCTTGGGTGAGTTAGTTATGAAGGGGTAATTGCAGAGGCCTGGCTGGGCTGCGAATGCGTCCCCTGAGTGAGGGCAGGGCCAGCACTCTCTGCAGCGTGCCGGGTTGGGGTGGACCCATTCCTGTCCTTAGATACACTTGTTTGTTACAGTCCTAGGGACAGGTGATGTTATTTTTATATTAACAATTATAATTTTTAAAGCTCTGGAAAATTTTCTTTCTTTTTTTTGTGTGTGACAGGGTCTTGATCTGTTGCTCATGCTGGAGTGTGGTGGCACACCTGTGGCTCACTGCAGCCTTGACCTGCTGGGCTCAAGCGACCTCCTGCCTCAGCCTCTAGAGTAGCTGTGACTACAGGCATGCACGCTACCATGCCTGGCTGTTTTTTATTCTTTTCTTTTTTGTTTTGAGACGGAGTTTCGCTCTTGTTACCCAGGCTGGAGTGCAATGGCGTGATCTTGGCTCACCGCAACCACCGTCTCCTGGGTTCAGGCAATTCTCCTGTCTCAGCCTCCTGAGTAGCTGGGATTATAGGCACGCGCCACCATGCCCAGCTAATTTTTTGTAGTTTTAGTAGAGACGGGGTTTCACCATGTTGACCAGGATGGTCTCGATCTCTTGACCTCGTGATCCACCCGCCTCGGCCTCCCACAGTGCTGGGATTACATGCGTGAGCCACCGCGCCCGGCTGTTTTTTATTCTTTATTTATTTAGTAGACATGGGGTGTAGCCATGTTGCCCAGGCTGGTGTCAAACTCCTCAGCTCAATCAGTCCTCCTGCCTTGGCCTCCCAAAGTGCTGGGATTGCAGGTGTGAGACACTATGTCTGGCAATGAAAACTTGTCTTTCTTTAGAAAGTTTTTATAGTGTGTACTTTCTAGTCTATATCTAATTCTAATAAGTCATTCTGTTGTAATAGCATTACAGTTTTTTTATTATGGTAAAATATGCGTAACATAAAATTTACCATTTTAGCTGGGCGTGGTGGTGCGTGCCGATAGTCCCAGCTACTCAGGAGGCTGAGGTGGGAGAACTGCTTGAACCTAGGAGTTCTAGGCTATAGTGCGCTATGCTGATCGGGTGCCTGCACTAAGTTCAGCATCAATATGGTGACCTCCTGGGAGCAGGGGACTCGCAGGTTGCCTAAGGAGGGGTGAACTGGCCCAGGTCGGAAATGGAGCAGGTCAAAACTACCGTGCTGATCAGTAGTGGGATCGCGCCTGTGAATAGCCACTGTACTCCACACTCCAGCCTGGGCAACATAGCAAGACTCTGTCTCTTAAAAAAAAAAAAATTAAAATTTTAACCTTTTTTTTTTTTTTAGCTGAATTTCACTCTTATTGCCCAGTCTGGAGTGCAGTGGCGCTGTTTCAGCCCTCTGCAACCTCCACCTTCCAGGTTTATGTGATTCTGCTGTCTCAGGCTCCTGAGTAGCTGGGGTTACAGGCATCCAGTACCACACCTGGCTAATTTTTTGTATTTTTAGTAGAGATGGGGTTTCACCATGTTGGACAGGCTGGTCTTGAACCCCTGACCTGAGTTGATCCATCCGCCTCGACCTCCCCAAGTGGTGTGATTACAGGCATGAGCCACCGCGGCTGGCCCCATTTTAACCATTTTTAAGTATGCAATTCACCAGCATTTAGGACACCCACAGTGATTGTGCAGCCATCACCACTGTCCATTTCCAGAACATGTCATCATCCCCAACAGAAATTCTGTGCTCAGTAAAGAGTAACTCCCCATACGCCTCTCCCAGCCCCTGGTCACTTCTATTCTACTTTCTTTCATTTTTTGAGACAGGTCTCACTCTGTTGCCCAGACTGGAGTGCAGTGGCGTGATCATGGCTTACTGCAGCCCTGGTCTCCTAGGCTCAAGCGGTCCTGTAGCCCCAGCCTCCTGAGTAGCTGAGACTATCCCAGCTTTGTAGTTTTTCTTTTGGTTGTTGTAGTTTTTAATTTTCACATTTCCATTTGGTTATAACTCCTGTTTCTATACCAAGATTTTCTTTCCACTTGGTTGAGAATGTTTGGCTTTACTCTGGGAGCTCGTCCGATATCACCTGAGAGCCCCTGTGGATCCCGCGTTCATCTCAAAGCCAGCTCCTTTTGCGTATTTGTTCCTTTGAGGATCAATCAGACTACCCTTTGCAAGGCAGTTTGATTGTTCTGGATGCTTTGACTATTATGCTATGGACTTTGGATCTTGTTTAAGTTTCACAGAGAATGTAGAATTTTTTTTTTTTCATAGCAAGAAATCAACCTGGTTCAGGCTGCACATTTTGGACCCTGTTCCTGTGTACATGTTCTTAGCCTGGCTTAGTTTAGAGACTTTCCAGTGTACTGTGGATCTGCCCCATATGTGCCAGTGGGGCCCATCTGAGACCTGGGCAGTGGTCTGTCCTGTAGGTCAGTTCTCTTCCCTTTGCCCTTTAGGGTCAGGACCACCTAAAGACTGTGTTGGGATGACCCAGGCTCTCATATACAGCTGTGCGCTGTCCTCTCTGCTCCCCACTTCTCTCAGCGCATACAACACATGCTGACTCCAGGCTCCTTGTCCTGTGGCTGGAAACCAGGGGCTTTTGTGTTCCCTGTGCTGTGTAGAGGATGGAGAGTGAGAGAGCAGCGGTGAATCCCCACGCTCCTGGGCCGCCGTTCCTGTAGTCAGGAGGAAGATTCCCTTCTCTCCAAGCTATTTGGGCCTGCCAGGCCACCCCCACTATCACAAGGTTTTAGCTGGGGCTTGGGCTTGCTGAGGGCAGTGCCAGCAAAGACAAAATAATAATTTAAAAACCCAGGGCAGGTTGGGTGTGGTGGCTCACGCCTGTAATCCCAACACTTTGGGAGGCCAAGGCAGGTGGATCGTCTGAGGTCAGGAGTTCAAGACCAGCCTGGCCAATATGGTGAATCCTTGTCTCCACTAAAAATACAAAAATTAGCTGGGCATGGTGGCAGGTGCCCGTAATCCCAGCTATTCAGGAGGCTGAGGCAGGAGAATTGCTTGAACCCAGGAGGCAGAGGTTGCAGTGAGCTGAGATTGCACCTTCGCGCTCCAGCCTGGGTGACAAGAGTGAAACTCTGTCTCAAACCCCCCGCCCCCAAAACCCAGGGCATTTCCCTCCTCTTTTTCTGTCTTGTATGGGTTTCCCTTCCCATTCCCCAGCAGTGAGAGGACTTCTTGGAGTGCTTTCTGCACCTGAAACTCAGTTCACAGATTGGGGCTGGCTTTGAGTTCAGGCCAGGAGAGATGGAAGACCTGGCAAGCCGGGAGTCTGCGTCCAGGGAAGTCGCTCGGAACTCCAGGCCCCTCCTGTCCTCCTGCTGTGGGCCCCACATGGAGGGAGCGACTCTGTGCCTTCTGCTCCAGGGCTTTGGCTCATCCAGTGGGAAGGACGGGTGGAGTGCACTTACACCGCCCTCAGAACCAGAGCCTGGAGTAACCCTTCTGTTACCACCTGTTTTTGTCAGGAGGTAGTAGTCTGGGATGTAAGGGTGGGTCTTTGGAGATTATTAGAGATGCCTTTGTGAGTATTGTGTTGTGCAGATGTGGAGATGACTCTGACCCTGTGCCCTGCCTTGCTTCCTCCAGGACTTGGGACCCTGGAGGACTGACGCTGCTGGCCTGGGCGTCTCCTCCTGCTGAGCCATGGCGACCCCCGACGTGAGCGTGCACATGGAGGAGGTGGTGGTGGTGACAACTCCGGACACTGCGGTGGATGGCAGTGGTGTGGAGGGGGTGAAGACCGTGTTGGTGACGACCAATTTGGCCCCTCATGGGTAAGCACGAGTCTCGGTGCCATTGACGCTGATGGGGGCTCCGGTTGGGCTGTCTTTGGCGCAACTGGCATTAACGTGGGAAGGGCCGAGTGTCAGGATTTTCCTAGTTCCAGTTCTTCTGAGACTGGACTCAAATGTGTATGTAAGTAGAGAGCGGAGAAATGCAGAAATGGCCTGGGGAGCAGAAGACCCAGCTGCAGCTGTGGGGAGGCCTTGCCCCGGCACCCGCACGGCCATGGGCTCCATGTACTAAAAGGCTATGATTTCTCATGTGAGAGGGAGCAGTAGGGATGGCAGAGAGCTGGACTTTCAGAAATGGAGTTGAAGAGCCAGTGATTTTCTTGACATTCTTCATGAAACTGTGAGCGTTTTCTTTCTCATCTCTGTACCAGGTGTCCGAATCAAATGTTAGTTGGCAAAAAAGCTAACATTTGCCCAAACTGCAGCTTTGTTTTGCCGCCTGCAGGTAGAACTGCGAGGAGGTGGCAGAGCTGCTCCTGCTGTGAGCTGGTGTCACCCCTGCCCCGGCTGGGGGTAAGATAAAGGCACAGTCAGCCCTGGGCTACGATCCTCATTCTTCCTCCTCAGAGGGCTCTGGGACTCTGGGCCTCTGGGGCTCTGGGGCTCTGGGGCTCAGGCAGTCTTCCCGTTGGTCTCATCTTTGCTGTGTCTCATGCATGGCATCTTCACGCTGACCTTAGCATATCACTGAGTGTGAGCTTTTGACTTTCTCACTGTTTGACAAAGGGCTTTTGAGAGGAAGACTTTAGGCTGTTGTTGACCCCTGCACGGTGCAGGTCAGGCCTGCCTTCCTGGATGGTGTGCTGGCAGCTGCCACCCGGGAGGACCTGACCCTGAGTTCCTTCCTGCCGTCCTTTCCTTGCTGTGGAGCAAGGGAAGGACGGCAGGACCTGTTGGACCACCCTCCCTCCTGCATGTCAGGGTGGTGGAGCTTGGTGCGACTGCAGAGCAGGACACGGACCTGTATGGGTTCCTGGTGTGACGTACCCAGTCCTCTCTGCCTCATCTGCAGAGCTCGTGGCCATGTCTGGAAATGCAGACATCTGAGTGGGGCCTCCCGGCTGGATGTTCATACCTCCGTCCTCCTTTTCCCTTTGTCAGCACCTTGGGTCACAGCTTCAGTGCTTCCCAGGCTTGTGTCCATGGTGTTTCCTGACCTCTCCCGCACCACATGCTCCATAGTGACCTCCCCACTCTTGCCCAGAGAGGCAGTGCCCAAGCTTCCTCCCTTGGATTTGGGTTGGCCTGCAATGAGTACAGTGCGGCAGTGGTGACCCTTGGTCAGAGAGGGCCACATAGCTTCCTCATGGTGCCCTAGGGATGCTGCAAGGAGCCCAGGGTCATGCCTGACCTGGGGTGAGGCTGCTGTGGTCCCCACTGAGCCTGGCTTTCATGTCGCCCACCCAGGCATCCTGGTGGAAGGGGCCTCCGGGTAGGTCCAGTCCAGTCCCCTATCCAAGTCTCCTCACCTGCACCATGACTCTGTGTCCGTGGTGGTGTGGTCCAGCACCAGGTTGGGACCTTCAGTATCCTCATCTTTAGGCCTTTTTTCTTGATCTGGCCTGAGTCCCCAGGCAACATGTGTCTTAGTCTGCTCGTGCTGCCATAGCAAAACGCCATAGACTGAGTGACCTCAACAGTGGATATTTTTCCTTACAGTTGTGAAGGCTGGAAGTCCAAGGTCAGGGTCTGCCAGGTTCTGCTTTTGGGAGGACTCTTTGAGTTGCAGATGGCCGACTTCTTGCTGTGTCCTTGTGATGGAGTGGGAGGGAGAGAGAAAGAGCTTTCTGTTTAATTTCTTAGAAGGTCACGGGGCCAGGCATGGTGGCTCATGCCTGTACTGTCAGCAGTTCGGGAGGCTGTGGCAGGCGGATCACTTGAGGTCAAGGAGTTCGAAACTAGCCTGGCCAACATGGTGAAACCCCATCTCTACTGAGAATACAAAACAATTAGCCAGGCATGGTGGCACGTGTACCTGTAATCCCAGCTACTTGGGAGGCTGAGGTGGGAGAACTGTTTAAATCCGGGTGGGGGAGGTTGCAGTGAGCCAAGATCATGCCACTGCACTCCAGCCTGGGCAACAAAGCAAGACCCCATCTCAAAAAAAAAAAAAAAAAAAGCCACAGTTGGCCAGGCCTGGTGGCTCATGCCTGTGATCCCAGCACTGTGGGAGGATGAGGCAGACAGATTGCTTGAGCCCAGTTCAGGACCAGCCTGGGCAACATGGCAAAACCCCATCTCTACAAAAAACACAGCGCACCACCAGCTGGGCATGGTGGCAAGCACCTGTAGTCTCAGCTACTCAGGAGGCTGAAGCATGATGGTCACCTGAGCCCAGGAGTTTGAGACAGCAGTGAGCCGTGACTGTGCCACTGCACTCTAGCCTGAGGGACAGAGTGACAGAGCGAGACCCTGTCTCAAAAAACAACAAAAACCACCAGAAGGTCAAAGTCTTATTGGATTAGGGCCAACCAGTATGACCTCATTTTAATTATCTCCTGAAGACCCCATCTTTAAATACAGTCACATTGCAGGTAAGGCCCTCAACATATGAATTTTACGGGGGACACAGTTCAGGACAATACCTTTGCCTAGCTCTCAGGGTCCTGCAGGCAGGGGTCTGCCTCTACTTCTCAGGATCTTCTGCCACGTGGGGCTAAGGATAGCACCAGGCTGGATGGGTGGGCTGGGACGTCTTTTGGTTGATCTCCTGTCCCTCATTCCTGCTGGCAGAGGTAGTTGATGCCCAGGCCTCTAGATTTAGGGGTTTGGGGGTATACTGAGTATTGGTCATCTCCCCATGGCCAGCCTCCGCCTCTCGGTCTGTGCCTTGCTGCTGATTGCATCTGTGTGTGCCCTCCCGCTCCTGGCTTCTGGGTTTACGCTTGGGAGCTTTTCCCTCTGCATTGTGATGACTTCCATGAGAGGCCCATTCACCTGGGTGCTCTTTTTATTTATTTATTTATTGTTTGTTTGTTTGAGACGGAGTCTTGCTTTGTCGCCCAGGCTGGAGTGCAGTGCGCAATGTCAGCTCACTGCAACCTCCGCCTCCTGGGTTCAAGCAATTCTCCTGCCTCAGCTTCCTAAGTAGCAGGGACTACATGTGTGCACCACCACGTCCAGCTAATTTTTGCATATTTAGTAAAGACAGGGTTTCACCATGTTTACCAGACTGGTCTCGAACTCCTGACCTCAGGTGATCTGCCCGCCGCAGCCTCCCAGAGTGCTGGGATTATAGGCATGAGCCACTGTGCCCGGCCCGCATTTGTGTGTTTAATTTGCCATTTTATCAGGAAGTTTGTGTAGCTTTTAAAAAATTACACATAACTGACCGGGCGTGGTGGCTGACACCTATAATCCTAGCACTTTAGGAGGCCAAGGCGGGCGGATCACGAGGTCAAGAGATCGAAACCATCCTGGCCAACATGGTGAAACCCCTTCTCTACTAAAAAATACAAAAATTAGCTGGGAGTGGTGGTGCGCACCTGTAGTCCCAGCTACTCTGGAGGCTGATGCAGGAGAATTGCTTGAACCCGGTAGGCGGAGGTTGCAGTGAGCCGAGATTGCACCACTGCACTCTAGCTGGCGCCTGGAGACAGAGCAAGACTCTGTCTTAAAAAAAAAAAAAAATTACACATAACTATTTTTATTACAAAATATATATGGTAGAAAATTATTTCATAGCTGGAATGATTTAGAAAGAAAAAAAGAAAGTACTGATAAGCAAAAATAAAAACCATGTTGCCATTACCCAGAGATTCCTACTGCCAACACCTTAGATCTTTCCAGATGTTCTGTTTATATAGGAACATATGAATTTTTCTTTCCTTAAACCTTTTTTTGAGATGGAGTCTTACTCTGTTGCCCAGGCTGGAGTGCACTGGCATGATCTCAGCTCACTGCAACCTCCACCTCCCAGGTTCAGGTAATTCTACTGCCTCAGCCTCCTGAGTAGCTGGGACTGCAGGCGGGTGCCACCACACCTGGCTAGTTTTTTCTGTTTTTAGTACAGTTGGGGTTTAATCATGAAAGCCAGGATAGTCACGATCTGCTGACCTTGTGATCCACCTGCCTCAGCCTCCCAAAGTGCTGGGATTATAGGCTTGAGCCACCGTGCCTGGCCTCCTTAAACCTTTTTATTATTAAATTCATGTACATGTAGAAAAGCACCCCGGCGCTCATGTTCAGCTGAATGAACCCCCACAAAGGGAGCGTGGGGCGTCGTGCCCTGGAGCCCTGCGCGTGCCCCTCCTGCTCCCAACATGAGACCCCACTGTGCGTGCGGCTTTCATTCTGGTTTGGCCTTAATGATTTTTGTCTTTTCATGTTGATGAATTTTCCTCTTTTTTAATATTCAATTCAGTCTTAAATTTCTTGCTATGTTGGCCAGGCCTGGTAGCTCCTGCCCGTAATCCGAGCACTTTGTGGGGCTGAGGTGGGAGGGTTGCTTGAGCCCAGGAGTTGAGACCAGCCTGAACAACAAAGCAAAACGTCAGCTCTACAAAGAATACAAAAATTACTTGGGTGTGGTGGCATGTACCCGTGGTCCCAGCTTCATGGGAGGCTGAGGTGGGAGGATTGCTCCAGCCTGACAGAGGTTGAGGCTGCAGTGAGCCAGGGTCATGCCACTGCACTCCAGCCTGAGTGACATGGTGAGATCCTGTCTCAAAAGAAAGAAAAAAAGAAAGATTCCTTTCCCCACAAAGTGGCTTTTATTGTGGGTCTGTCCCAGCCAGAGACCATCCCATTTAGTCCTCGCATAGCCCATTTAGCATGTCATTCAGGAAAGTCTCTTTCATGAACTGGCTTAACAAGGAGACGGGGCCAGATGTCCTGCAGGTGCATCGCTGGGCTCAGAGGATCACAATTCACTACAGCAGCTGAGTGGCGCCTGGGATCCAGTCTCCAAAGCCAAGGTCCATGTGATGGAGAGGGTGTTTTCCCAGTGTGACAAGTGCAGGGTGGCTTTCATGTCCTAG